TATGTGATTAAGTGCTCATCTAGTATTCTCATCTAGTATGCTCACCTCAGCACTACATAAAAATAAAATAAAGCTATTGTGTCCATCTACAACTAAAAAATATTAAAAAAAGAAAACAGTTGGCATTGACTCCCAGCCACTGTGTTGGTCTGATCCATATCGCCAACTGCATCATACATCCCAGCTAATCCTTAACCCCCTTATCTCTTCTGATTACCACATTACCTAGCTTTTGTCATTTCATTCATTTTTTCTAAAGAATTAGTGCAGTGAGTGGCAGGCTACACTCAAAAGTACAAACTGGGGAATTATAAATATTTAATCCAGTGCTCAAGGAACTGCTTTTTATTATTCTCAAAGTGCAATTTATAACTATAACTATGAAGTTACACTAAGTTTTAACAAGAAATGTGAGTCTTAGATTTTTATTTTCCACACTAAGCTATTTAGTTTTCCCATAATGGGACTAACCAGAAAAGGAAATGTCTGCCTTTGGGAACTTAGAAAACACTTAGGTTTGCACCCAAAGTTATTACTAACAAAACAGTGGCCTTTAGAATAGGCTACTTCTCTACCCCTTATCCAAAAAATTGACTAAAAGGTATTCATTCATCTTAAGCAAAACGTTAATTATGGACAGTCTTAAAAGTTGTAATTTTTCATTTCAATTTGCATTGGGTCTAATAATCAATCATTAGTCGAAAGGGAAAGACTAATTTTATCTGCTAATTCCTCTTACTTCCTTGACAGTTACTTTTCCTATCCAAAATTCAAAATTCTACAATGTTAAACATTACTAAAAGACAAAAAAGTTATGATTTCATATATGCATACATATATGTGTATGTATGTGTATGAATACAAATATGTATATTGTGTGTGTGTGTGTGTGTGTGTATATATATATATATATATATATATATATATATATATATACACTTTGGGGTACTGGGTATTGAACCCTGGGACCCTTTACCACTGAGCTATATCCCCAGGCCTTTAAATTTTTTTTTTTTTTTTTTTTTTGAGAAAGGGTCTCACTATTGCTTAGGGCCTGACTAAGTTGCTGAGAATGACCTTGAACTTGTGATCCTCCTGCCTCAACCTCCCTAGTGGTTGGGATTACAGGTGTGCACCACTGCACCCAGCAAAAAAAAATTATGATTATATGATACAAAAACTTCTCATTTCCTGGAAAATTCAAACTACTGTAAGGACATGATTTATATTTCCCAGAAGTAACTTAATATAGAATGTTTCTTTTTCTTCTTTTTTTCCCCTAGAAGACTCTCTATAATTCAGAATGTCACTAAAAATGAGGAAATAAAGTGTTAGGCCCTAGGCTAATGAAAAAGACTAAGGAGGCATGCCACGGGGCTTCTTCTGCATCAGCCAGGGGCCAAACAGGAATGCAAGCAACTCTAAGGCACAGGAGGGCTTTGAGAATGTAAGCAGCAAGCACACTTGGGAGACCAGAGGGCACAGGGAGACACATTCCAGCCTCAGGGACGGGGAAGCTTCAAGTGAGACATTTTCCTAAGACATGTCAGGGGAAGGATGTGATGGGAACAAGTTCATCCAAATCATCTATGGCCATTTGCTTAAAATACAGATGACTGGGTCTCATCTGATTCTGGAACCAGATCCTCATGATGGAGTCTGGGAATCTACTTGTTTTGTTTTAATGAGCATGCCAGTAAATCCGAAGCAAGGGATCCACCGACCACATTTAGTCACATTAAAATTTGATTACTACTGCTCTCAGTGAAAGGGTAAGAGCTGATGAACAGATAGGGTTCTCACAAAGGGACTACATGAGGAGCTTTATGGAAACAAGAGAATCAGAGCATGTGGATATTAAGAGGTTGTACAGGGCACCAGGCACAGTGGCACACACCTGTAATCCCAGCAACTCCATAGGCTGAGGCAGGAGGATCACTAGTTCAAAACAAAATATAAAAAGGCTGAGGATGTGGTAAGCGGTTAGGCATCCATGGGTTCAACTCCCCATACCTAAATAAATAAAAGAGGTTCCCGAGTGTGTTCGGCAGCCTAATGAAACCCAGTGTTGGAATCATAGGTAAGCTACTTGAGTCTTGACTCCCACAATGAGGCTGAGCTGTGTTCTGGAGGCAAGCAAGAATGGTCAAAGCTTTCTGAGCAATGCCATGCTGTGTTTAAACAAGATTACTTTGGAATTCACACAAGAGGAACAAGGACAATAATGTAAAGGAAGAAAGAAGGAAATGGCTGGGTCTGGTGGCGCACCCCTGCAATCTCAGTGGCTAGGGAGGCTGAGGCAGGAGGATGGCTAGTTCAAAGCCAGCCTCAGCAACTTAGAGAGGTCCTAAGCAACTTGACAAGACTCTAAATAAAATATAAAAAGGGCTGGGGATGTGGCTTAGTGGTTAAGTGCCCCTGGGTTCAATCCCCAGTACAAAAAAAAGAAGGAAATGGATGCAAGAGACTTTATGAACAAAGAAAGAACAGGATTGGGGATTTGCTATATGGAGACAATTAGAGGGAACTGACAATAACTTTGAGGAAAATTTTAAATAAACCAAGTATCTTTTCAGCGCCCAGCACTACCAAGAATCCAAAAGTTTAAGAGTCATTAAGGCAACATAATAATCACCTACTATACAGGCCAGTTCTATTAACAATGCCAAGGATACACCCAGGTAAAAAATACTGTCTCCAGTTTAAAATTAAATCTCACCTTGTTCCTCTTTTTTTTTTTTTTTTTTTTGTGCCTTTACTTTTTATTAAGAAAAAAGGATTTTTATTGCCTGCCTTTTAAACTTCTTAGCTCCTGAAGCATTAGCTGGCTCAAGTCAAGGGCATGCCAGTCTTCATCTTAAGTAGTTTTACCTATTAGTTTCAATGAAAAAGAAATATTTAGGCATCTTTATCAACAACAACATGAGTCCTAATGTGTGACTAAGACGTGAAAGCCCAACTTCAATTAGATGGACTTAGGGCAAATAAGGAACTTTCCCACAGAGAACTTTCAGGTACAGAGTTGTTTGTTTATTCATTCAATATGTACTGAATGGTTATTACAGATGGCTGTTTCTTTCCTGACCTTGAAAGATGAATGAGCAAGAGCCTGAGAAAACTTAAGAGCAGAAAATGTGGTCTGTCAAGAAATGAACTAAGAACAACAAGTAGCACTTAAAAACTAGAGGGATGGAGAAGGGAAATGAGAAAAGGTAAGCTAAGGAATGCATTCACGCAGGCCTAGTGAAAATAAAATAACACCGGCCAGAGCAAAAACCAACCGGAAATATGGGAATTGGATGGAAGCCACCTGTCAAGTTAAATTCATAATTTTCAACATGCATACTGCCAGCTTCTGAATTTTAACAATAACCTGAGACAGTCTCTGACTTTTAGAAATGAACAAACTATCTGACAAGATACCTACACGAAAGCAGATAACTCTACTAGATAGTACAGAGTCAAACTGAAGTTATATGATACAAGCAAGAGCCATAATTCAAAGAATGTCAGTTTAAGGTATCTGTTCTATAAAAAGATACCAGGAACACTTTTCTAGAACTTTGACTAGTTAAGATTGCTTCTGAGTACAAGCTGTAACAGCAAAGCCTGTTGGCTGTACATCCTTGTATAGCCACACCCATAAGTGAAGATCACTTTAATGTTGGTGACATCATCAACTTCCTAAGCGGTTTTACTTTTAACTGTCACTTTATTTTAATCATATTATAGTAGAACACTTCAGATCTGAACTACCTCCAAAGTACGTATGGTCTGGACCGCTATCAGTGTTGGATTCTTTCTGGTCTTTGGCAAATAAAACCCAGAATACTAGGCATTTAAAACTAAATTATAAAACATTTGATTTAAAAATCTCTCAATTATTATTTTTGTATCTTTAACCTGGATTCAGCCTTTCTTTTCTACACTTCTTCAATGCTGTATAATAGCTACTAATTACTCTTGTCTAAGACCAAGGAGGAGAATTAAATGTAAAATAATTTGTTTCCCATGTGAAACCTAGGTACAAAAAATATTGCTTTTTAATAAAAAACATTTTTTCCCATCATTATGTATAACTATAATGCACAAGTAAAGAATGTGGGAAAAAGGGCTGGTTGGGATTATAGCTCAGTGGTAGAGCACTTGCCTAGTAGTGTATGAGGCACTGGGTTTGATCCTCAGCGCCACATAAAAATAAATACATAAAATAATATAAAAGTGTTGTGTCCATCTACACTAAAAACATTTTTTTAAGTGTGGAAAAAATAAAAGAACTATAATATGAACCTCGGGTCCTTAAGAAAACACAAAAATGCAAAGATAGAAAAAAAAAGTACAATTATTGTTAACATTAATAAACATTTTAATCTCTGCATGTCGAGGTATGTATCATGAGTATGCCTAAAGAGTAAAGAGCACACTTGTACTAAGTTCCAGTTACTGAACTCTTATTCCAAGAATAAAAGGCCAATTTTTCAGAAAGATGAACACTGTTGCTAGGGTTAGGAGAAAATTAGTTTCAAAATGAGAACAAAATTAGAAGAAAGTGCCTATGAAAATCATGACGACCTCACTTTCAAAAAGGAAAAAAGAAGCAGGGCAAGGTGGCACATTCCTGTAATCCAGTAACTTGGGAGACTGAGGCAGGAGGATCCCAAGTTCAAAGCCAGCCTCAGCAACTTAGTGAGGCCCTAAGCAACTTAACAAGACCCTGCCTCAAAATTAAAAAATAAAAAGGGGTGGGACTGTGGCACAGTGGTTAAATGTCCCCAGGTCCAATTCCTGGTACCCTCCCAACAAAAAAGGAGAATGACCAATATGATAGCTTCATTAATTTGCCTTCTTTTTACCTTGCTCATACAGCAATACAAACAACTGAGGCTATAATTTTGGACAGATACATTATATTGTGGAAGTCAGTGAAAAATGCATGCTAAATCAAATATTATTTAGTCATTAAAATAAAACCACATTAAAAAAAAAATCAAATATCTTACCAGTTGGAATTCTCGTCGCCGGTCATAGGCATTTTGTATACCACTGTCTGCCCATAAGGCTCTTATAGCAGGAAGATATTGTAAAAAGACCCGTGTTTCCACCATTCCCTGGGCAGCCAAGGGGGCCCGGGTGTCAAACGCCATCAACTTGTCTCCATGTAGCTGGTTTTCATTATCTCCCCAAGGAATATGAAGCTTCTCTCGAGCATCTACCAGCACCCTCATACCTTTGTTTAAAAAAAAAAAAGTGTGGGGAAGAGTCATTAGATGCTAATATAAGCTTTTATTCTAGTTTCTTAAAATTTTAACTACTCAGGGCCATCTACAAAAGTGAAGTGGAGACCAGCAACAAATCAAACACCTGTATCTTCTCAAGGAAAAATGTTCTCACACCTTCTTAAGTTTACAGTCTTGAAGAGCAAATACTATTAACACAATCACTCTTTTTGAAAAATTTTAATATGCTGCAATTTATAAAATAATTTCTGGAATGGAAGGTGGTCAAACCAAACTAGGAGAAGAAAAAGAGATTATTCTGTATAGCCTAATGTCTTGAAGACAAGGGCTGCAAACAAGATTTTTATGAGCCCATCTAAAAGACATTTATTTACAAAACACTAAGAATTATATAACGTCTTCAGTTTAGTTCCTTAGTACCCAATACTGAGTCTTGTAGGAACACATTCAGAACCCCAAAATTTCTCCCAAACCAAGCTTCAAATCAGTGTAAGTCACAGAAAGGTCTTAGATTTTCCTAAAAAAGGGAGGAAGATCAACAGAAAAATGATTTAAAAACTCACAAAGGATAGTTCAAACTATATATTTCTAGCACTGAACTGTTGTTAACTTTTGGTCCATCTTAACAATCTATCACGAAGTCATTTATTTGAAAAACTGAAAAACCATTTTGCTGTTAATTTTCTGATCACGCCAACTCAAAAAAACTGGATGCGTAATGGCTTCACCTCAGAATGATGCTCAAAATAGGTCACACTTAGGACTTAGTTTACATGAAGAAGCAGGTGTTTACCTAGCCCACAGTTAACATGTTGACTCTATTCATTAACGTAATTCCTCAAATTCACCTGCACTGGGATACAAAAGTACCTTCAATTAAGGACTGGCAAGACAGAGTCTGCAACTCTGAAAGAGACCTTAATTAGTATGGGTTAAACATTCAGGCAGGCTAAATACAATTGTCTTTTACAGTTTAACTGCAGAGGTACCAAGGTTAAGAGCTGGTTGCTGTCTGTGAGCTCCTGGCCTAGTGTTCACCAGTTACTGCCTCACAAACCCTCCCTCTCCAGGCAAACCCAGGGAGGGGGGTGGGGGGAGTGACATTAAGGAGTTGCTTATGACTTCCTGAACAAGAAACCCCACTTAAAATACACTGCTTGAAAAGGCCTGCCATTTGCAGCAATCTCCTAGACAAAATGTTCCACAGATAACATAAGGAGAATTATGATGCACCTGACATCTCAATTCTGTCAATGCCTTTTATGTAAAAAAAAATCTGACACTAGAAAAATGAGAGCTGGTTCTTTTAAATGACAAAATAAAAACCACCTTTCCGATTTCTTTGTCCAGAAATAAAGACCTGTGTATTTTTCACTTGAGAGCAACGTTTAATTTTAAAAATACTGTCAAACAGGAGCAGAGCCTATTATCCAAACTAACAGTGATTCACTGATTCCACCTGTACAGGATCCCCATCACTTTTAGACGAAAGTTTTCATACTGCCACACAATTTCATTTAAATAGAAAAAGCAGGACCCTCCCCTTTTCTCTTGCGCCCAGTTATTTAGCAAAAAAAGAAAGAAAAACAGTGAAAGATGTTGAAGGATGATTAAAGGCACACATCCTGTAACACTGGGGAGAAAAACCACTCGTGCTAGTTTTTCTAGGTAAATTGCATGGATACACTCTTCCCTGATGCCAAAGGTGACACCCTCAACTTTCGCAGCTTTGCCTAAGCTGGCCCTGGGGGCCGTCACTTTGACAAGAGGCAAAAGTTTCCTTCACGCGATGGTTTCAGAATTCCCTTGCTCACCAGCCGGGCCAAGGAAGCCCGGGAACTGGGAGCGCCCTCGACCTTGTGGCTGGGTCACCCACCAGGCGCCGCGAGGCTCGCGCAGGGGGCTCATCTCGGGTGGTCTTGCCTGGCCTGCAGCGAGGAGGGCAGGGGAGGTCACCCCGCACTCCGAAACGCCCGGCTCGCCTCACTTCCCTCTCGGAGGGGGCGAGGCCAGCGGCGGGGTGTGGGGCCGGCAGTGACCGCCACCCCGGCCCCGTCTCACCTGGGAGCGACGGCACCCCGGCGGCAGGAGCGGGGCCCGGCGCACCCCCTTCCCGCCCGCCCAGCAGCCGGCCCCGGGCCGGTGCCCCGCCGCGGACTGGGCTGGCGAGGGCGGTGCCCCGCCCCGCGCCCGCCGCCGCCCGGGTCCCCGGGTCCCCGCGCCCCCGGCCCCGGCCCGGCACCTTTGATCACGTTGCTGTAGATGGTGGGGCGGAACTCCTCGCGCGCGCGCTGGTCGAAGTCCTGCCCGTGGATGATCCTCATCTGCTTCAGGAAGGTGGACTTGCCGCTCTCGCCCGCGCCCAGCAGCAGGATCTTCACGAGCCGCTTCACGTAGGTCTTCTCCCGCGACAGGCATTTGTCGATCTCCTTGGACTTGCGCTGCTGCTCGGCCTCGCCGCTCGTGAGCACGCAGCCGGGGAAGCACACGGACAGCACGGACCGCGACGGCAGGAAGTCCGCCATCTTGCCGCCGCCGCCGCCTCGGCGGGCCCCTGCGGCTCCCTCCACCTCCTCCACGGGCGGCGGGCGGCTCCGGCACCCCGGCTCGAGGGCGGGGAGCGCTAAGGCGGCCCGAGCGCGCCCGAAGAGGGAGGGATCCAGCGAACTGACTCGCAGGGCGGGCCGGGCAAGGCGGGCCTGGCGAGCCGGGGAGGGAGGGAGGGAGGGAGGGAGGGAAGGAGGGCGGGCCCGGGAGGGGCGGCGGCCCCGAGGCGCGCGCGCGCACGTTGCCTCCCGGGGGCGCGCACGCCCTCACGCCGCGGCCTCTCCCGTCCCCCACGCCTCCGCGGGCCGGCCTGTCACGCGCTCGCTTCTCCGCCCGCTGGGCTGCTGCTGTCGCCGAGCGCGCACGAGGAGGGCCGGGGGGCTGCGGTCACGTGGGCGGGTCTCGCGCGCGCCTGCAGAGCCCAACTTTCTGTTTTCCTTTATCTGCTCCCACTTTTGCGCGGAAGCCCTCGTTCTCCGAGCCCCGGAGGCCGGACGCCAGATCTGCCTTTGGCTCCGTTTCTGCCCGACCGGTGCCACCACCCTTTCTCCTAGGTAGCGCACCCGCCGTCTGCTGTCACTCCCTCCTGCCTCACGTCGAGGCCAGTGGCTGCGAGATCATTCCAGCAGCCGGCACGAGCCTTGGAAGGTGTTTAGTGCCTTTTCTTCAGGTGACTCCCTGCCTCCCGAAGACTGGAAGGATAACTAGATGTGTCGATCACCGTCTTCCCACCTCTTTCTGGCATTTTCTGAGCCCTGCAAAGGGCCTTGGTTTGAGGAGAAAGAACTGGAATTGACGTCTGTCTGAGATGTGGTAGGAAAGGTTGTTAATGTCCCCTTTAATGTGGATTCCCACCCACGTTACGACCTCGGCAGTGCTTTGGCTCTCTGAAATTAGAGAATGAGGAGGAGGGTGAGGTCATGGTGAAAATCCCCCTGCACCGGACACTGCGATGCAGATTCTTCCCAACAAGGAAGCAGATAAGCAAACAGATTGAGAACTGCAGCAGGCAAATTTTAGGTTTCCTGCCAGACTACAGAGGATATGACCAGCAAGAGACTTTTTTCTGTCCTCACACGACAGATTAAGGCCAGGACACCTGAAGGGGCTGCCAGGAGACAAGCGACAAGTGACAGCTGGGTTGGCAAAGTGACTGTAACAAGGACCCAGAAGCCGACTTTTTCATTCTTGGTATTGAGCTTCAAGTGGAAAAGCCAAAAGTGGTTTGGATTGTCTACTTTTGGCAGTGCAACACAATGCTCCTTGGTTTGGGCTTCAGAAACTTCCTGTGTTAGGGAGTTGGGGTAAAAGGTCAACACTCTGAGAGGCTTATGAACAAGTTTAGAAATCAGTGCTAATCAGTCTGAGTTGGGTTAGTGACTGAGAAGCCTCATGACTCAATTCTTCAGTTGCAGTAAACAATGCCTGTAGTTGGATTATCTCTTGCTGGACTGGCCAGGCCCATGGGGTGGACATTCTACAATCTACAAAGTGAGGTAGACTCCCCTCTGGTATCTGTGGGTTACTAGGATCAGGATCACTGGGCAATGCTTTCAGTCTGAATGTATGGCAAAAGTCAACTCTGGTTGGAAGATCTCCCTGTGGTCTCAACTAATGTTAGGGAGGCCTGTTCCTAAACCATGAAAGTACTAGCCACTGCCAAGGACAGGGACATAGTGCCAGCTCCCAAGCCCTTTTTCTGTTTTTACTCCAGGTGCTAATCTGAACTCTTCAGCAAAAACAGGAGGGAAGCCTCTAAGTTAGACTAGTTAACATCTTCTTCCTAAAGTGTGTTCAACGTAATGGGAAACAAGGATGCCTAGGAGGCAGGAAGATATTCCTGCCTCACTAGTTCATGTTGTGACATGTAGACAGCAGAGAAGCTGCTCAAAGCCCTGCGTGGAACCTTGCTCGGCTCACGTCAAACCTGGCTGCTCTAATCAGTGTTTCTGAAAGACATCTTTTGGCACAGCCCAGGGTTTGGCTATAGCCATCCTACTTCTTCTAACTGGTGATCAACACATCTTGTGAATTATAACCGTAAAAGTGGAAGAGAGTTTGGTGGTGCCTTAAAAAGTTAAACATAAGGGCTGGGAATGTGACTCAGCAGTTAAGTGCCCCTGTATTTAATCCCTAGTACCAAAAAAATAGAAATAAAAAGAAGTTCAACATAGATGTGACCTAGCAATTTCACTCCTGAGATATAATATACACCCCTAAAGAACTGAGGTGTTCAAACAAAACTTGCACATCCATGTTCATGGCAGCACTACTCAAAATAGTCAAGGGTGAAAATGACCAGCGGATGAATGGTAAACTGATATATCCATGCAATGGAATTATTCAGTTATTAAAAAGTAATGACATTGGGGCTGGGGTTGTGGCTCAAGCGGTAGTGCGCTTGCCTGGCATGCGTGCGGCATGGGTTCGATCCTCAGCACCACATACAGACAAAGATGTTGTGTCCGCCAAATACTAAAAAATAAATATTAAAATTAAAAAAAAAAGTAATGACATACTGATACATGCTACTACATGAACTTTTTCCCACATTTTTTAAAAAAATTGTTGCATTATAGTTGTACATAATGATGGGATTTGTTGCCATATATTCCTACCTGCACACAATATAACAATATACTTTGGCCAATATCACCCCCCCAGCACTTTCCTCTTTCCTCCCTGCTTCTCTCCTCTTGGACCTTTTCCTCTACTGGTCTCCCTTTGTATGACATGAACTTTGAAAATATTATGCTAAATGAGGAAAAAAAAAGGCCACATATGTATTGTATGGTCTGGTTTATAGGAAATATCCAGAATAGGCAAACTCACAGAAACAGAAAGCACATTGGCAGTTGCCAGGAGCTAGGGATGAAGGCAAAATGGGAAATGACTGCTTAATGGATAGAGATTTTCCTTTGCGGGTGATGAAAGTGTTTTGGAACTAGATAGTAGTGATGCTTGCTGAACACTGAATGTGCTTAATGCCACTGATTTGCACACTTTAAAATGATCAAATGTGCTTGGTGTGGGTGGCTCATGCCTGTTATTCCAGCAGCTCAGGAGCCTCAGGCAAGAGGATCAGGAGTTCAAAGCTAGTCTCAGCAATTTAGCAAGTCCCTAAGCAACTTGGCTAGACCCTGTTTCAAAATAAACAAAAGTGCCTGGGGATGTGGCTCAGGGGTTAAGCACCCCCTGGCTTCAATCGGTGGTGCCAATAAATAAATAAAATGGTCAAATGAAGGCAGGGCATGGTGGTGCATAACTGTACTCATAGATACCTGGGAGGCTGAGGCAGGAGAATTATGAATTGAAAACCCAGCCTGGGCAACACAGTGAGACCCTGTCTCAAAGTAAAATAAGTAAACAATAATAAAAATAATAAAATTGTCAAATGGTGAGTTTTATGTTATATGAATTTGACTACAAGAAAAAAAATGAGTTAAGGAAAAGGTGTTTTCCTTAGTCACCGCCATCATTTAACTTTGAAGTTATGGCACAGTAAGGGCTGGGCATGTTGGCACATGACTGTAATCTTAGCTGCTCAGAGGCTGAGGCAGGAGGACCACAAATTCAAAGCCAGCCTCAGCAGTTTAGTGAGTCTGTAAACTCAGTGGTAGGGCTCTGCTGGGGTCAATCCCCAGTACTCTGCTCTCCCCACCAAAAAAAGAAAGTATCACAGTGTGTATGTCATGAATAGAAATATCGCAATGTTTATTTTAAAATATTACCTACGACATCTTATTTACAACATAAGTCAATCTACTAGTTGCTCCAGATTACATTACGGGATATTGATATTTTGATTTTCAGATAAGTTGTTTCATAAGTAGGAAAAAAAATCCCAAACTTTTTAAGGGAGTGCAGAGTATATTAGAATTGAATCTGCTGGATGCTGTTTCCAGCAGGTCCAGATGTAAATTCATTAGAAACATCTGTATTGTCGCTAGCTAGTTAATCCATATGCAAATGAACTATTTAGATGCCCCCTGGAGCTGTGTTAAAAGCACAGGAACAGTTGATGAGTTGCAGTGTTTGTTCTTGCTGGAAACTCAATGTTTAGTGGCAAACAGTCTTGCAAGATAAATAATGAAAAGTCTGACTAAAAACGAAACACATTTCCAAATGCTTTTCTCCTCTTGTCACATAGGATGGAACAAGTCCTTTTTAATAATCCTGTTATTCTTGAAATCTACTATTTGTACTTTGCTCTTGGAACTGAAAGAAAGGCTTCTATGTTATAGTCACGAGTTATTTTCAATTTTTTAAAAATGGTATTACTTAGATTATTTACCATATTTTGTGCCAAATAACTTTGGGCTGTTTATAAAAATCAGGATTATCCACAAAGGACAAAAATGTGTCACCCTCAGACATATTCAAAAGAATGTGCCAGAGGCTCCAGGAACAGTTCCAATGAGGAGTTTAAAAAAAAGATCTTTTTTTGAATGATGGGAAATATAATTTAAATAAATGTTTAGCTTGCCAAGGTGACTACTCTCCACACAGAACAAGGCAACACCCATTTAGATGTGTTTATTTAAAAATCAGTCACATTACTGGATGATTAAACCTTGGGTTAATTTTCTAATGAGGCTGGTGACACATCTAGCAGTCTTATTACACAACTCCCTTCTGTCTCACATCAATATAAAATAGGTGGATTCTGATGCATCTTACAGATAAAGCAGCCATGGGCTTTTCCTATTCTTCCCTTCGCTGCCAGGAAGGCAAGGGAATCCCCAAGCTGTCCCATAATACAAACCTCTTACATATGCATGATAGTTTAAATGCCTCAAAGCACTCTGACCTAGTTATCTCATTCACTGCTCACAATAGCCTGACTAGGAACACCCCAGCATTAACCTCACTCTCATGGGGCCCAGGGAGAAGCCCACAGGAGGAAATGCTTGAATGACTCTCTCCAAGCCTCGTTTACTGTGGCCAGTCGCAGAGCAGGGACTGGAAGCTCTCTCTCTCTTGACTCTTAATGCCCTGCAATCTCTGATATTGCCAAAATAGCCCCCGTGCTTGGAATGTCGAGGTGTGTGAAGTTCAAGCTTGAGACAAGAGGCTAACTGTACTTAGACTTGAGGCACCAGGAGT